ACTGTTAACAACTTCTTCTGTGAACTACTTTCTTTTAACATATTCGCAAATATTAACATTTTGACGGATGTATGCTTTGTTTAGCTAGACACACCTGTGATGTGTTACTTGATCAACCACTGCTGACCAGTAAATCAGACGGCTGTCATTTGTTCATCTGACTGCGCATGCTTCGGCTTTTAAATTACTTCTTTACCATACAGCAGAGTTTGTTAAACTTTTTTTAGTCATGACCCTCTTCATTGCTGAGATTTTTTCGTGACCCCCAGGACCCCATAATATTTACAAAAAATTTGTGGGGCTCCATAAGTATTGCGCAAATCCGACACACGCAGGTGGGAAACTGTCAACGTTTTCACTTGTACTGTAATATATGATTGCAGTTTTAGGTCATTAACTTTAATTTATAATTTTAAGACATAGAACAATGTGAAAATTTTAAATAAGTAACAGACAAAATGAGAGCATCACGTGCAAAGCAAGGAAAATGAGCATTTATATTATAAAAAGAATGTGTCAAAACATTTTCATTTTCACTTTATCTGCATTGTCTTATCTTTATCTATTTTCAGATACATTGTGTAAAAAAATTTGGTAATTGTAAAATTATTATAATAAGATAAAGAAATTTCAAAACTGCTAAAATTTTTGGCGACTCCCTGCTGTAGGACCCACGACCCCCAAGGGGGTCATGACTCACAATTTAAAAAACCCTGCCATACAATATAGCATTACACCAGCTGCACTCTGTTGTATCACTCTTTGATGGTACAGCTCTTCTTAGCTTTAATTTTACGCCAAGGAAGAGGAACTGATTTGGAAAACTTGCATTAACTATGAAGTTTTTCAAATATGTGTTTGTTGCAGTATTTGGAATGGGATGTTCAACTTAATATGCATCGACATGATCAGGATTGTCCATATCCTATCCTCCATGCATAATTTAAATATGAGACAGTTTTCTTTAGAAAGTACTCCACAGAAAGGCTCTTTGCCTAAGACATTTGCCATGAAGATATCCACCAAAGCATTTCTTTCTAAATTTTCTAATTTTTCCTGGCCCACTGGCAGCCAAATGGATAACATTGTTGAATACTGGTTGTTCAACCACAGCTCAAATCTCGGCGAATATGCTGGCTGCTACTCCATGAAGACATCCCTTCCTTTAAGCAGCAAGCCCTTGAGTGGTTTGCCTCAATCAATAAACTAAGCAACAACTTCTCCAGTACTGCAGTGGTCATTACTATATTTCAGAACTTTGCACTTGTTATCATTCTTAGTACTTTTTTTTCTTCTGCACAGCAAATGTGCGACTACTTTAATGTATATCTATATAATTACATACAATATTTTCTACTGGTATCAGTTACCACATAGAACCTTTCTATTACAACATATATATTAGTATCAAATAAAACCTTTGCACATGATATATATCGCATATAATGCTTTGTGGCATATTCTCTAACTGTTTGGTATGTTCTCTGTGAAGTAACCATTTGCACAATTTGTTACTATAGCATTCCACACTATTTGCCTATACTTTATATATGTTCCCCTTTTTCTAAATTAGAATGTCTGTGATTACTGCTATATATGTCAGTATATTTTTGTACTTTCTGTACACTTTTCTCTCTCTCTCTCTCTCTATATATTTTTAAAAATAATTACCATCTGACCCAGTAGACCGGCTGCCTCGCTGTCGGTGGAAAGAAAGTACTTTTGTTAAGATTTGGAACATGGCAGATAGCCCCAATTTGTTTAATTTAATATTTTGTTAATTACTGTTTTGTTTGATTGATCCAATGTAAATACACATTTCCTATTAACAGTATTACATTTTCTTTCCTTATATGCCTTTCAATAGTATAACTGCTATGTTAAGAAAGATTTCTGTAAGTGGAATCTTAATTAAGAATACAAGATACCTTTCTCACTCAAAAGTTGTACTTCTGAAGTTTCACTAAACTAAATATTGCATTAGAATTATTTGTCACATTGCTTACATGCTATGGCTTATTAATAATTGGTCCACCAGAGGTCATGTGATAAGAGTACTGAACACTGACAGTTTGAACAAGGCTCAAATTCTGGTAAATTCTCAAACTCTGGGTTGGCTGCATAGGCATTTTTGTGATAAAGAGCCCTCCTATGCTTCACCATAATCAACTCAATAAACACAGTTACTAACTAAGACACAATAACACACCGAATAAATACTGATTCAGAAGTCAAACAACAAAAATCAGCGTTAATTCACAAAATTTTCACAGGACTAGTTTCGATGGCTTTACCGAACCATCATCTTCAGCTGCAAAACCGCAAATGAACAAGATAGGAAATAATGTTTAGATAAGATAACAAAGCCTGGACAAGAATAAGCAAGTGGCGCCATCTGTTGGCGAAACCAGAACTAAAACATAATTTCTCTAAAAGCCGAAGGCAAATTTGGATTGGAATTAGGATCGTTAACTAGAACAGAAAGATTTTTATGAATGTGAAATGCCTCTAGAAAATCCAGTTCTCCAATGGAAGATGTTTTTTGAATAATTTTGGCAGCAGAAAAATTGAAAGTGTGATTTTCGGACCAACAATGTTGAGCAACAGAAGACTTCTGTGTTTCCTTTTTTCTAACATATGCCTCATGTTCTTTGACGCGAAATTTTAAGGCTCTCTTAGTTTAGCCAATGTAAATTAAACCGCACTGGCAAGGAATCCTATAAATACCCCAGGAATTCATATCCGGAATGGGGTCCTTGAGTATAGAAGTTGGAATTTTATTGATGGGAGAGTAAACAACCCGAAAGCTAATTTTCTGCAAAATATGTGCAACTTTATAGCTAATTGATGGAAAGAAGGGAATGACAACAGAATTTTTATAATCTCCTAAAATAAGTGTGTGGCTTTTAGTGTGTTGAGATGAGAATTTTTTAACTGCTTGATTAATAATGTTGGGTGAAAAGCCCCTGTCAATAGCTATTGCTTTTAAATAATTTAGTTCTTCATCAAGGGCTAGTTTGGAGGAGCAAACTTGAAGAGCACGGAAAACATAGGAATAAAATGAAGCTAACTTTTGTTTAGTCGGATGACATGATTTAAAGTGTGGTGGAAGGCAAACCGATGAAGGTTTACGGTAAACTGTAGTACTGAAGTTGGATGTGTTACGTGTGACCAGAATGTCGAGAAACGGAAGAGAATTGCAAGTCTCAAGTTCAAAAGTGAACTGAATAGCAGGATCAATAGAATTCATTGTTGAAAGAACTCTATTTAAATCATCTTTATTACCTTCAAACAGGGTAAAAGTATCGTCTACGTAGTGGAACCATGCCGGGAAGTTTAAAGTTTCAAACAATTTTGATTCATAATAATGCATGTAGATATCAGCCAGGATGGGACTGAGGGGGCTTCCCATGGCTAATCCCTCAGTTTGCTTGTAATATTTATTTTGGAAAACAAAATGTGTTTGTTTCAAACAGAGTTGAGTGAGAGAAATTAGCTCATCAATTTCGATGCAAGAGAAATGAAATTCGCGAAGTCTGGTTTCTAGACATCTTAATGCACCCTCCACTGGGACATTGGTGAATAATGATTTTACATCAAAAGAAACCATGAGTAAATTACGAGGAGAAATGTTTTTAACCTTTTTTACAAACTCTATTGAATTTTTTATGGTGTAAATGTTATTGTCTAATAGAGTGGAAAATCTAGAAACTAAATATTTAGCTAATGGATACGAGGCAGTACCTAAATTTGATACAAAAGGGCGGAAAGGAATACCACTTTTATGAATTTTGGGAAGAGCATATAATCTGGCACAATTCGCAACAGATGGGATAACTTAAAACATTCGCTTATCCCATCTGTTGCGAATTTCTCGACATTCTGGTCACACGTAACACATCCAACTTCAGTACTACAGTTTACTGTAAACCTTCATCGGTTTGCCTTCCACCACACTTTAAATCATGTCATCCGACTAAACAAAAGTTAGCTTCATTTTATTCCTATGTTTTCCGTGCTCTTCAAGTTTGCTCCTCCAAACTAGCCCTTGATGAAGAACTAAATTATTTAAAAGCAATAGCTATTGACAGGGGCTTTTCACCCAACATTATTAATCAAGCAGTTAAAAAATTCTCATCTCAACACACTAAAAGCCACACACTCTTATTTTAGGAGATTATAAAAATTCTGTTGTCATTCCCTTCTTTCCATCAATTAGCTATAAAGTTTGCACATATTTTGCAGAAATTTAACTTTCGGGTTGTTTATTCTCCCATCAATAAAATTCCAACTTCTATACTCAAGGACCCCATTCCGGATATGAATTCCTGGGGTATTTATAGGATTCCTTGCCAGTGCGGTTTAATTTACATTGGCCAAACTAAGAGAGCCTTAAAATTTCGCGTCAAAGAACATGAGGCATATGTTAGAAAAAAGGAAACACAGAAGTCTTCTGTTGCTCAACATTGTTGGTCCGAAAATCACACTTTCAATTTTTTCTGCTGCCAAAATTATTCAAAAAACATCTTCCATTGGAGAACTGGATTTTCTAGAGGCATTTCACATTCATAAAAATCTTTCTGTTCTAGTTAACGATCCTAATTCCAATCCAAATTTGCCTTCGGCTTTTAGAGAAATTATGTTTTAGTTCTGGTTTCGCCAATAGATGGCGCCACTTGCTTATTCTTGTCCAGGCTTTGTTATCTTATCTAAACATTATTTCCTATCTTGTTCATTTGCGGTTTTGCAGCTGAAGATGATGGTTCGCTAAAACCATCGAAACTAGTCCTGTGAAAATTTTGTGAATTAACGCTGATTTTTGCTGTTTGACTTCTGAAACAGTTACTAACTGTTAAAAATTTACTACATAACTAATGATCTGATTAATCATGTTGTGTAAATGATTTTTTTAATTGCATAGCAAACTTTTTACTATTACTATTTTAAATTTACTTTTACTTTTTAGCTTATTTATTTACTTTTACTATTTATTATTCTAGGAAACTGTTATCTACTTTCAGATTTTTGCCACTGGAACTAAAATGGAAGCAATTTGGCAATCATAATCAAATGAACTATGCAGAAATTTCTAAAACAGTAGTACCAAAAACAGGTTACAGAAGAAATGAAATTGAATTTTGGATTCTTCTATTACCAGATTTAGATGATATTCAAAATTTACATGCTGAAATTCCACAAGAAGACACTTCTGCTGAAAAAATAACATCCAGGGCATGGAGTGCAGTAGGTCTTGTAATGCTTTTTGGTGTTCTTTGTGTCTCATTAGTTGGAGTAGTTGTTATCACGAGAAGCAGAATAGCACAGTCTTCTATACTACCAATATCTTCACGCAAAGATGATATTAAATACAGCAGCATTTGATAATAATGCATAAATAAATTATAGAACTAGTTACACTTAAATTGAAGATGAATATTGGAGTTTAAGACGAGTGTAATTACAGAGCACTTTAACTGTACAAGCTTCTGTTCAACTACATTTGTAGAAAGGATGTTATAGCAATAAAAGGGGGGAATGTTTTTAAAGCAATACAAGTACAGATAAAAAACAAACCGATTTATTTCTACTCTGTACATTTCATACATTACCTTGTCCCCACCAGCAGCCAAGTGCTGCCTGTTCATCCTAGGTTTACATCTAGGGAAGTGGGCTGGCTGCAGCTCTGTTTTTCTTATGCACAAGGTAAGTACAAGACAGTTTTCCTTAAAAATCCTCAAGAAAGGCATCTCTCCCCTTAGGCAGATAGCTCTAATAGGCTTTGTCACATTCCAATAAACAAGCCAAAATTTGAGTCTTACAAAGCAAATAAAGTCCACAATTTATAGTGTAAATTATATTTAAATTGCTTAAAGTCCATGAAAATAAGAAAAAAACTGAATAATATTTTTTAATTATCTTAGTCTAACTATGCAGATGTTTATTTTAAGGGAAAGATGTAATATAAAAAGAAACTGACAGCATCAACATTTTGAAAAAATAAATATATTTTAAAATATATTACATATCAGCCAAGGTAGCACAAGATAATGTTCCAGTTTTAAAATAATTTAAAAATAAAATACTCATGGCATGATAAGAATACATTAACAAGGTCTCTTTGCCTCAACAAAGTACTTCATAATTTTTTCATGACTAACTGAAAAGCATGAAAGGCAATAAAATTGAAGTTCAATCTCTTTTCCAAGTGGCATCTTTTAACAGTAATTTTAGTTTTCAGAACCTCATTTGTTAAAAAACATCTATCATCAACTGAATTTTGGAGCTTTTTAGTGCTTTAGACTGCACACACAAAATCTGATTTGTCTGATTTATCAGTATGCCATTTCTCTACAACTCAAATGATATTTGTTAATGTCCAAAATTTTCTAAAATGCAGTTTTAATTATAAATTCCATTTCCTCCTAAGTTTCTCAACTTGTTCGTCTTTCCCAATATGCCTAAAATATAAAAGAAAACAAAAACAGCACAGATAACTATAACAAAATAGTCTTTCATAAAATAAAGTACACTAAAAGTACCATTATCCTAAAAGCTTTTTTACCAAGCATATTTTCTTAGTCTAAGGCCAATCCCTAGTGATCAATATGGCATTTAATGGTTAAGTAAGGAATTTTTTAATCAAATAATTCAAAATACTGTCCATTACGTCTTAAAGTTTTACTTTCTCGATAACAGCTCTTAGAATTACTATTATAAAACTAAGTATATCTTCTATTATGGATTTATAGATTATTGCATTTTTTAATACCAGAAATTGCTTTAAAATTTCTAATTACTGATCATTCACATTTTCTAGGTATGTCATAAATATTAACAATGAATATAAAATGCAGCAAAAACAAAAATAATCTGCATCTTGCAAAATAAAGATACTGTATTGCAAAACAATACACAGATAAGCAGGCACCAGAAATTACTTAAAAATTTTTAATTACTGATCATTCACATTTTCTAGGTACGTCATAAATATTAACAATGAACATAAAATGTAGCAAAAATAAAATTAATATGAGTCTTACAAAATATAGATAATATACTGCAAAACAATGCACAGATAAACGGATACCAGATCTGATCAACATTATATGAATAAAACACACAGTTTGAAAACTAGTGATTGTTTTTGTTAAAAACTGCTGTAAATTTAAGCCCCAAGAGAAATTTGAAATAAAAATTTCATTGTCTGTAAGCTACTAAGAAATTCTTTTATTTTTTAAAGTTCTTCATATGTATAACAGGATAAATAAATCCTTTGAAATAATTTTTAAGAAAAAATAAGGACATGGTCTAATTATTATCTAATAAAATATATGCTCATTTTGTTCATTGATATGTTCATTTCATCTAATAAAATATATGTTCATCATTTCTTTTACCCAGGCATAAAATTATCTTGCAGTTTGCATGTTATTTTGCTCGTTAATCTTTTTTTTTTCTTTTTAATTTTTTTTTATTTGCTTTAAAGACGTAAAAATCACTTGTATGATACAATGCTTTTAAAAAAAAGCCAACATTTCAGTAAATTATTATATAAAGTAAGATAAAAACAAAATTTAATGAGTGATTCTAAAAAAAAAAAGTTGCTCAGGGAGTTAAATCAAAAGAAAACAGTAAAAGATAACACATTTAAAACAAAATAAACCCCACCTTTCTCCATAATGACTATGCTAGTAGTAAGTCACTGTGATGAAAGAACGTCTGCAAACAGTGATACTAATTTCCTTATAGTAAATGAACCTTATCATGCATATTTCATTTTAAGACTAATATATACAGTGGATGGACAAAAATATGGAAACACCTTGTGAAATGCATGTTTGAAAAGAAAGATTGATTTTAATGAAATATGTAGGTGGCGCTGGCGTTTTTGACTACTGACGCCACCTATACAACTTCGTAAATGTGTTAAACAGATCAGTTGTTGTCGGAGTACTGTTATGTGAGGTTGTCATTGCATTATGTCAGAGTTAAAAGACTTCGAACGTGGGCAAATTGTTGGAGCACGTATGGTAGGTGCTTCCCTAAGCAAGGTAGTGTTTCAAGAGGTATTGTATCGAAGATTTATTCCGCATATTTGAAAAGCGGAAAAACATCATCTGCTAAATCACAGCGCGGACGAAAGTGTGTCCTGAGTGATCGTGACAGACGATCATTAAGGGCAATTGTGACGAAAAATAAGAAGACCACAGCTGCAAAAGTTACTGCTGAAATGAATGTTGTGTTACCGAACCCTGTGAGTACCAAAACAATTAGGGAATGGGAAGAACGCATGCAATGGTAAGTGGAAATAGAGCAGTGGAAGCAGAAACGATACCTGCCATTTCTCCAATGTTATAAGATACATGTGTCTGTGTCTGTTATGACCCAATGAGACAAAACAAGTTGTACACGACTGAGGAATCTGACGAGGTGGTTTTCTGAGACTGGGATGAGTTGTCCCTGAATATTATCGAACTTTTGTGGTCTACATTGGAACGGAAAAGTGCGTTTGCGCGCACCGCCAAATCGTTATCCACCGCCACATCGTTATTGCAGGAGAATGGTATAATATTCCCTTGGCACACATACAGGAACTGTATTTATCCATTCCGAGAAGACTGCAAGCTGTTTTGGATGCCAACGGGTTTCCTACACCATATTAAGCAAAGAAACATGTTTTTTTAAAGGTGTCTCCATATTTTTGTCCAACCCCTGTAGTTCCTAATATAACTCTGAGTTTTTATGTAACTCTCAAACACAAAAGAAGTGTTAACTTATTGTCAACAGTTCATCAATAAAATTAGTTTTCACTGTAAAATTATGTAAACATCCATCAGTACAAAGTCAAAATCTTCACAATGAATTTTAATAATAATATTTTAAAAATACAGCTTTAAAATTATTGTAGCATTTTAAAACAGATATAATAATTTAATAAATGGTTTAGTGTAAAAATCATAATTATTACTCACAAAGCATCCTTTCGAGTATCATTATACTGTTCACTAATTCGTTTACTTCTTTGATCTACTTTATGTAATGTGTAACTAGTGGCATAACTAGAAGGAAACAAAGAGTATTTACATATATGTACAAAAATTTACCTTAATACAAACATAAAACTATAAGGCAACTAAGTATAAATCACTGTGATGAAAGACATCTGAGTATAAAATTAATATTCAGCTGATGCTTTTAAAATTTTATTAAATACAATAAATTGATAATTTAAAATAGTAAACCTATTCAAACAGATTTTAATGATTTAATAGAATACACTAATGTTTATGAAAAATGCAACACCATGAAGGAACTGTTGGAAATGAATGAAATTTATTCCACATATTATTGACAGTGATATATATAAAGGATCAAATTTACAAGATAAAAAAGAAAAACGAATGTAAATAAGTACTTTGTGTGTCCGCAATACTGTGCGATGAGAGCCTGTACATGTCATGTCATTGAATCATACAGGTTCTGAATGTAATCCTGGGGAATGGCATTCCATATGGCTTCGACACCAAAGCTCAGTCTTAGTGTGTGCCCCACCACCTACACGAGTTGTCAACCAATGAAATATTAGACATTCTCAATACACAACATATCTGGGGAATAAGCAGGCCACGGAAGAAGGGAAACCTGCTGTGGCCCTAAAGATGGCTTGTGCAGTCTCAGAAACATGTGCATGAGCATTAAATTGCTGAAATACAGTGCCCAGAATGCGTGGAAGAATGAGGAAGGCCTCTGTCTCCAGAACTTTCCTTATGTAGTGATCACTGTTGAGGTTGCCCACAATCTGCACAAGATGGAATCAACAATTATACCTAATACCTTCCCACACCATGACACCAGCCATTTGTGTGGCATGATGCTGGATAACACACTGTGGGAGCAGACATTCCCTTCTGTAACATCTGACATATAATCCTCCATAACTGTCCTCCAGATTGCAGCAAGATTCATTGGAGAAAACAATTTGTTGCCATATGGCACGCCAAGCACTGTGTTGCCATATTCATGGAAGTTTGAGGCATCTGTGATTCAGCGACAGGGGAATCTTGCATAGAGGAACCCTAGCACACAGTTCATGCTGCAGCAGACAGCGATGAGCCATGGAGCTAGACAGCACAACACCCGTAGCCATGCTCTAACGTTGTGGTAACATACAAGAGCATGCTGTATGATCCGTCACAACCATGCTGATAAAGTGTCTGTTGTCCCATGCCACTGCATGCCTTACTGCCAGGATTTTGCCTTGTTTGGTTCTCTTCTGTCCATTTCTTCTAAACACGCATCCCTGTTGTGGCATTATGTTGTAGTGCATGCTGCGACTGGTCGATATGAAAGTCCACCTTCTCGCATACCAATGATATGGCCTCATTCGATATCCATTAGTTGTTGGTATGGCACCCTCCACTGTTGACAAGGCACATTGATCACTAATAACTCACTGTAGAGACAGGATGATAAAAAGATTTCAATGCAACTTTACAGTCCTTTAAATACATGGAACAAGCACGTGGTTCTCATTTTATGCATCCACAATCACTTTGTAATTCTAATCATTTGCATGTCTTACCTCATTTAACATTTCCTGTAAGTTTGGTTCAGTTTTCATAATTCCTTCATGATGTTGCAATTTTAAAAAACATTAGTGTATATTCAATAAAAATTTTAAAAACTTCATTCTTACTTACCTGTAAGCAAAGTAATATAAGCTTAAGCCAATAATTACAAGTACAAAACAGCCCATTACAATCCAGATGTTTTTTATACGATAAGTAATGTTTGCCGGGTATTTTTTTTTAGATCGATAGATATATTCCTTGTACTCTTCCCTCTCATAATAAGGCCGTTCATGATCCCATGTACCTTGTGCTTGTTTACTGAAATGTAAAAAAACTTTCAAAATACCCAGAAATAAATTACAAAGAAAGAAAACTGGAATTTTAAAAGCAATAAAACAGGTATTTGACATTACTTTTATAATTCTTATCATTAATGTTTAACATGATTAACAAAAAAAGCTTATGAACAGATTTTAAATCCGAAACAATGAGATCAAACTTAATTTATATGATTCTACAAATCATCCTGAGATTTTTTGTTTACACCTGACTTTTATTATTAGGAGATTTTTGTTGTTGTTGTAATAAGGTAATGAGGTGTATAAGGTGAAGCAACAGTTTATGCTAGTTTTTAATAAGGCAAAGAAGACAGATGAATGCATTTTATTTTGAAACTACAGCGTCAGATACATTATCCTAAAAATATGAATCAGAAAAGGTTTTTGTATGATACATTTTTTGTCAACATTCCCTAGAAGAGTAAAGAATTTTCCAGTAGAATTTATTTTGAAGTCAAATGTGATACCATGATATGAAAATGCATATTATTATTAACATATTGTGCACCAATGGCCACGTGACTACAACCACAAAATAATTAGCATTTTGACTAGAGTTCTATTCCTAGAAGAAAAGAAAGAAAAGGTTGGAAGAAATAAAAAAGGGATTAGCTGAATAAGATTTTTTTCATGTGTAACATAAATAAGATCCATTTTTTTCCCAGAAAGTCTTTCTTTCCAGATTACTTTGCCATATTTATGCATTTTAGTTCAGTTAAATAATCAAAATTTGGATAATTTTGAGCCTCAATGAAGCTCAAGTTTTTTCAGTTTTCAAGATTAATTAACACTGATGCCCGGGAACTGCCGACCTTTTGTGATTTTATATATATCAAAAGACTCAGAACTTGGGCTTTCACACAGTGCATTTGTTACTTTCTGTGATAAATTTTTATTTCCCATCTGACTTGATTGTCACTTAAGATCATACACACAAAGGTTAAAAAAACTAAGGCTAGTATCAAACATAAAAAATATTTTGAAAATCTAGAATAGATTATCTATTATGGTGCCTTTAACATGGCAACACTAGAGAAAAGTATATATAGAAAAGCTTTAAAAAACTGTGTAAAACCGGCACAAGAGTTGCTTCAAACGACTGGTTGTCCCTAATAGATCTAATAGCAACATAAGAAATGTACAAAAATAACTTAGTCAATTTCCTTCCAAAAGCATAACAAAATATTCTATTGAAAATGGAAGTTTAATTAAAGATTAAAATTAACAGTTACAGATTTTGAAGTCTATAATATGTATTTTCTTTTTCTTACTACTAAATGTGCACATAATAAAATTTAGATTAATTTAATTCATTTTTCTAAGCATTTTATAAATAGAACTCTGCCATTGCTTCTCTATACATTTCAGAAATGACAGCCAACTCACAGGTCTAGTTTCCACCAAAAGTGAAAAATATATCAAGCAATTGGAAAACAAAAAACTAGGCTTCCACATTTTTACAGTTGAATATATGATCATATACAGTACAAAGTCTTTAACTAGAGTCTTTAACTTTTAATCCAGACGTCCATAATCCGGAATGATCTATAATCTGGACCTCAAAGCTACAAACTTTCTACGCATATGTAAATGCATAATGCGTTTATGCATGCGTGCACAATACCTTTACGCATGCGCATTTAATGTATAATGGATGGTATAAGCTAGGCTAAAATTATCTATATCTATTTCAGTGAATGTTGCAGATTGCATTGTTCCTTAATCTTCTAATTGGATCCGGCTTATTATTTTTTGCAGACTGTTAGAGCAATTTTATAAAAAGTAAGCTTGAACTTTCGATTATGTCAAAAAGAGTTTCCAATTCTGGAGCTGCCAAAGGATCTACAAAGCGAAAGCATGTTTCAATGGCCATCAAACAAAAAGTGAAATTGCTACAAAAAATGGATAAAGGCATATCCTTTGTTTCTCTAACCATTCCGAAATCTGTTTATCAATTTCACGATGCTCTGCGGAAGGGGGGGGGATGTTGCGGCACGCAATGAACTAGAAGTTGATCTGTCAGCACTATCCTCATCTTCAGGGCAGATGTTTTAATTTTATTTGGCTTATAATTCCTTACTAAATGTAGTATTTGATCTCGATGTATTCCGTCTTTGATATGATTTAAATCAAATTCCTGATCATTATAAATATCACGAATACACATCAAATAAAATTTTGCATTTTTCTAATTCCGACTATGTGTAATGTATGCTTTACGCATGCGCGCGTTGAAAGAAATGTTTAATAAAGTAAACAAATAAATATTAAGCTTTTTTTTTTTTTTTTTTTTTGTAAATTTGGATACCCTTTAGATCATAATTGCTCTTTATTTCATAAATTACGGTTTCATATTTTTAACTTTATGATTTCTGCATGCCATCTTACCAGACTTAAATTAATGATCTACAATTCGGAAAAACCCCTAATCCAGAATCGCCGAAGTCCCGATTAAAGACTTTGTAGTGTATTAACCCTTTCGTGGGCCATTTATTTCTCTTTTGAATTTCTCCCCTTTTTTTATGTTTTATTATCAACTAAACAATAGCATTTAAGGAAATATATTTTATTTTGCCAAATTTTTTGTTTACATTTAAATTCTAGGGGTGGGAAGTATACTTCCCACGGGACCTTTTATTGTCATAGAGAAAATTCAATTTAAAGGCGATTATTTGCCGTGAAAAGATGAGAAACATGATGCAATGCACAAGGGTACATCACATACTGCACACATATAGCGGGTCCTCTTTTCTTGGGCCTTTGTGCTACATTTCCTACATTGTCTATAGTTGGAAACCATCTTTGGCTTATGATTTCCCACATTGGCTAAGCGTATATCATCTGGCACTGCACACCTTTTTGCTTGGAAGCTAGCAGGACGGCCTTTCCTTTTTCGAGGAATATCCATCTATTAGTTGACGAGCTAATGCTATATGGTATGTTAGCTGGTCTAAACTTCTGTTTCTCTTGTTTACTTGCCACAGTATAAAATTATTTACGATGCCAAGATCAATAAGAAAATAAAAAATACGATGCCACCATTCTACAGATCTTTCTCCTATTTGGTATCTTTCTTTTCTTTGATCGAAGCAATTAACCCCTCCCATGATATCGTTATATACGGCAACAGCTTTAGAGCAAGGTACTTCTGTTTTAGTACCATCCTTTTGTGTACAATTTACAGATGTAATAATCGTTGAATTGTGTGCAGTAGTCAACAATGTAACAGCCTTTTTGTCCATCCACTTTATTGCAGCAACACCTTCCTTAGTTAGGAACATTGATTCCCCTCTTTGTAGTTTGTTATTAGCCTTCAGCATTGGTGGAAGATCCTTCCTTTGCAGCCTCACAGTCCCCACAGGAAACAGACCACTTATAAGTAGACTTTTTGCAAGCCTAAAAAATGTCAAATAATTATCATAGGCTATAAGATGACCTGTCTGTTTCACATCTTCCGTTAGTTTAGTTTGTTTTTCCTAAGCTCCATATTTTATCCTTATTATCAGAAGTTTCTTTTCCACAATAAATTTCAAATTTTTGAATATATCCAGTCTTAGAGTCTGCTAAACACCACACCTTGTAACCTCTTTTTATAGGCTTCATTGGCATATATTGCTTCAATGAAGTTCTCCCTTTGAAAGCTATCATACATTCATCTATTCATAATGTTGACAAAGGTTCGTAGACTTTAGGTATGGAATCATTGAGCTGTGAGAGGTTTGGTTTGACTTTATCGAGTTTATCATGCCCAAGTTGCCCACATGGATTTGTGCTGTTATCCTTTACATGTAAAGTCTCAGTTACTTTTTTGAACCTCTTTGAGATTATTATTCTTGCTACAGATTGAACATTGAGAATAGGATCTGCGCTCCAGTAGGTTTTCAGCTCAGACAATTGATGTATGCTCATTAGTATATGTATACCTACCCATGCTTTCAATTCTTCTGATGTGATTTCTTTCCAGTTCAGGATAATGTTTTTTGTGGTATGACCCAATCTCTTCCTTTTCTTAGGCTGCTTTGCATATGAGTTTCGTCAACAATATTCTGTAAAATTTCCTCGGTAAAAAATCATGCCAAAATAATCCTTTTCTTTCTTAGTAGAATTGAATGATATTTTCAAATGTATTTTCAAAACTATTACAATTTTTCCAACATACCTATTGCATGTGGCTTTTATACACAATGCAATAGCATTTTCATCCATTATTTATTATTCAATATTAGATAGTTACTGCAGAAATATACAAAATAAGAGGTTATTATAATAAAACAGTGTTTTACTTACATTTGTTGCAGAATCGTATAGCAATGCAAATCAAAACAGGTGTCTCAGTGGAACAGATCTCACACAACGCGTTCAAACTTTCAAAACAAATGTGGTAATTCTGTGTTTCAATCAATAGATTGAACACAGATGGCAGTAGCAATACTAAAGTGGGCAAGGTACTTCTGTTTTAGTACTGTTCTGTTTTAGTTAGAGTTCCCAACGTTATAATACCAAAGCCAATATATTACAGTGGGTTTTGCGCTTCCCACAGGTGTATTTCCCAGGATCATGTAGGTGGGAAGTAATCTTCCCACGGCTCACGAAAGGGTTAATGACAACTCAGTTTTTGCTGGAAGTTTAATTCGGGAATGCATATTTGTTAAGTTATATTTGTGTGAAATTTATAATTTTTAACTAACAAGATATGAAATAAAATAATATAAATGGCATTTAACAGTAAAATAGACTACATTTGGTTAAGAAAAAAGAAAAATAAGAGATTACTTGAGAAAAGATATCTTTCATGTTTTTTTGAAATATTTCAAATGACTTTAAATTTACTGTAATAGTCAATAAAATTTTTACAGTCAAGAAGCAAAGACAAATTGTATATCATCACTAAAGTTGGTTAACATAATCAGAGACTAACATTTTTCATGGCAATATACCTCAAGTGTTAATACAATTTTTACACTCTGAACAACTAGGCAG